TCTCGTCGCTGCCGACTTGTTCACCACCGTCGACTTGCTCATCGACACCATCTTCGTTTTGCACCGGTCGAGGAGAAGCAGTTCGGGAAGGGTGTTTCGTCGCCCACTGCGCACGGATGCCCAGGAGGAGCACCTCCAAGGGTAGAACCGTCCCGAACTCGCCACCTGTGCGGCGTCTCCTCGCATCAGCTAACCGTGCCTCCAACGTATCCTCTACACCGCCGGCTTCACCGGGGTTATGTCGAGATTAGCTAGGAAGGAATGAGGATTAGGTAAGAGGGAGGGGGTACAAGAAGTGTCGAGCAATTTACTGTACCCCCTAAGGCTAAACCCACTACAGCCTAGATAACAGTAAACATATAATTTGACACACCCCCATAGGCGAAGTGGGGGATAGCAAACACAAGAAGAGGTCACAAGACCAGTCAAGAGAAGAAACAAAGCAAAGCAAGCTCAGGGTGGATCTCAAGATCACCACGCATTCTGAGCACTAGCAAGCGGCCACAAGGCCAGTTCACGTGCAGCTTTATAATAGAGCAAACTGTACAATGATTACAACCTAGCAACCAGAAACATGCAGGTTTATATATCAAAGTACAAGACAAGATCAAGAGACAAGCAGTGTTGGCTCGTGTGGCCACGTACAAAGGCGTAGCTGGGAACACTGCAGCAACACTCGCACGGCAAAGGAACGAAGTGCAAAGTGTTACGTTCTGCTCGCTAGTCTGACCAGGTAGCGCAACACCCTCCTAGCAGCTCGCCAGTGCGCAGGATGGTACACCAGCTCGAACTGCGTGTCCTCAAGTACGTCACAGCCAAGGGCAAACTCACTACCAACGGACGGAGGACACGAGGAGACAGAGACGAGACCATTAAGGTAGGCACGACGGCAAGTAGCAGGTGCAGCAACAGTCGAAGAAGCAGGTGCAGTCACAAGCGCGGCTAGGCTACGAGGGACAGTCGGGCTGGCAGCACGAGCAAGGTCAGATGCAGTGTCAGGAACAGGAGGAAGAGAAGACGTGGGAGGTAACGACACGACAACAGGCTCCCGAGTGACACGAGAGGGAGCATGGGAGGCGGCACAAGACACAGGCTCCCGATGCCCAGTCAGGAAGAAGGACAACGGGACATATCGAGCAGGAGCAGGCAGTGGGGAGGCAGGCGGCGGAAACAACAGAGGAGGAGTAGTACAAGTGGGCGTCGGCTCAGGTAGCCACGACGACGGCTGCTCAAAGATAGACTGCCGTGGCAGCGACTGAAACGCACCCCCAGACCCAGCACCTCTAGCGCCAGTACCTCCAACTCCACCAACAAGAGGACTCCTAGCACCCCCAGAGGCAGCACCCCCAGAACTAGCACCCCCAGAACCAAAACCCTCAGCGTCACCACCCCCAACAACACCTGGGACCCCGAAGTCCGCAGCGACAGGCTCCAGAGGAGGCGAAGACGCCCGGGGCGGAAAACCCGGAGGTGTCTCCAAGCTCGGTGAGCGGCGAGAGGTCGCTGTGTCGGCAGCAGTAGGGTCATCCCCCTCGGTCGAGCCAGAGGAGGCAGAGGGGACTACGAGACACGGGAGAATAGTGAAGGGGTGTGCATAGACTGTGCTAGTAGGAGCACAAGCAGCGACACACCAAGGCTCTAACTCCTGGTGCCCGCCCCCGCCACTCCCGCCAGCTCCACTACGACCCTCGTTAGCTACAGTGGTGAGGTCTGACAGCGCAGGGAAGGTAGGAGGCAGCGCAAGACAGCCTAGGATTGCAGGAGGGGGGGGGGAGTAGCGCCTAACTACAGCGGAATACAAAGCATGGGCCGACGGCACCTGGCTCCTGGGGAAGAAGGCTCGCTGGTCGAACGAGAGGTGAAGGCGGACTGCAAGTGAGGCGGCAGCGTCTCGCGCCATCCACCGACTGTAGGCAAGGTGAGCTGCGCGGAACTGCGTCCGCTCCTCCTCCTCAGCGTCAGCAGCAGGTTCAGCAAGAGCCTCTGGGGCCAGAAGGGACCCCGACGTGTGCTCGAACAGGGAGACGTTGTCCCGTTTGACACTCCGGAGGTACAGGTGCAGCCCCTCTAGCCAGGAGTCAAACCCTAAAGGTTGCCCCACTGCGTCAAAGGCTAGAACAGTGGGAGTCGCCATAGCAGCACGAACGGCAGCAAGCAGCAGGAGTGGCAGTTACGGCAGCAGCGGCAGCACAGGTGGCAGCAGCAGCGCAGGCGGCAGCAGCAGCTCAGGCGGCAGCAGCAGCCTAGCAGCAGCAGCAGCCTAGCAGCAGCAGCAGCAGCAGCATAGGCGGGAGCAGCAGCTTAGCAGCAGCACCAGCGCACCAGAAGCAGCACAGGTGGCAGCAGCAGCGCAGGCGGCAGCAGCAGCTCAGGCGGCAGCAGCAGCCTAGCAGAAGCAGCAGCAGCTGAGCAGTAGCAGCAGCGCAGCAGTAGTAGCAGCGCAGCAGCAGCAGCACAGGTGGTAGCAGCAGCGCAGGCGGCAGCAGCAGCCTAGCAGCAGCAGCAGCTGAGCAGTAGGAGCAGCGCAGCAGTAGCAGCACAGGTGGCAGCAGCAGCCTAGTAGCAGCAGCAGCGGCACGAGTGCAGGGGGCAGGGCAGCACTAACGCACGGAGCAACTCGGCTCAGCAGGGCGGCTCAAGCAGCAGCAGCAGGTTAGCAGCAGTGCAGCAGCAAAGGCACGGCAGCCGCACGTGCAGGGCAGGGCAGCCGCGCGTGTAGAGCAACAGCGCAGCACAGGGCTATAGAAGCAGTGCAGCAGCAGCAGCAGTGCAGGCGGCAGCAGTAGCTTAACAGTAGCAGCAGCGCAGGCGGCAGCAGCAGCTTAACAGCAGCAGCAGCGCAGGCGGCAGCAGCAACTTAATAGCAGCAGCAACGGCAAGGAGGAGCAGCTGCAGCAAGTAGCAGCAGCAGCAGCAGCAGTAGCAGCAGCGCAGGGGGCAGCAACAGCTCAGGCGGCAGCAACAGCAGCTGAGCAGTAGGAGCAGCGCAGCAGTAGCAACAGCGCAGCAGTAGCAGCAGCGCAGCAGCCCACAGAAGGGCAGGACACGCTCGAGGTAAGCGACAGCAGTAGCTTAGCAGCAGCTGCAGCGCAGCACAGCAGCAGCAGCACAGGTGGCAGGAGCAGTGCAGGCAGCAGCAGCAGCTCAGGCGGCAGCACCAGCCTAGCAGTAGCAACAGCCTAGTAGCAGCAGCAGCGCAGGCAATAGCAGCAGTGCAGCAGCAGCAGCAGTCGGCGCACAGCAGCAGTAGGCACGCGAGGGCTGTGGGCTAGCAAACCAGGGGCGCACAACAGGTGCGCGCGGAGCAGCTTAAAACGGGCGCGCAACAGGTGCGCGCTAGGGGCTGGCGGGCAGCGTGAGTGGCGCGCGTAGCAGCAGGAACGAGGGGGGACCGGGCGTAGGGGCTGACGGGCCACGCGAGTGGCGCACGGGGCAGCTAGGGCGCGGTCAGGAGGGGTCGCACGTGACTAGGCAGAGGAATCGCGCCTAGGGCAGCTAGGGGACGGGACGCTCCTAAGGCAGAAAAACGTCTCGCCTAGGGCGCGTTTCGCACTTCGCGTTTCTCCTAGGGGCGCGACTCGGGCAGCAGATCGAAATTGGAGTGGTGGGCCCGTTTAAAAGTTCGGTCCTAAGGACCATTTCGCTCTAAATACCATGTCGAGATTAGCTAGGAAGGAATGAGGATTAGGTAAGAGGGAGGGGGTACAAGAAGTGTCGAGCAATTTACTGTACCCCCTAAGGCTAAACCCACTACAGCCTAGATAACAGTAAACATATAATTTGACAGGTTAGGCGTCATGGTCTGCACGGGCTGCCGGCCTACGAACGACTTAGGTAAGTGATAAGTCGGCTCCTAACCTGAAGGTATCTTGCAGGGCCGTCCACGCTCAACGCACCATGCGGAGATTCACTCTACAACGGTGGGAGCTAGACTACGGGGTTGGCACGGGTTGTGACTGTATCGTAGCTTTGCTTGCGTTCTCTAGCAAAGTTGGGATTACATAATGATAGCAAGAGCAATGGCAAGAATGACTACATCAGAGCCTAGCAACCTAGCAGACAGGCAGGTCAACCGCCAGTGCAGCAAGGTCAACAATCTGCCAGCGTTGCATAGAGGCACCGTGATAGCGTTGCAGTAGAGCGACCTGCCAACAGAGCAAGTCGGCGGCTTGCCAACGCTGCACCAGGGCGACTTGTCAATGCTGCGACAGAGCGATTTGCCAGCGTTGCAACTGCAGGTGATAGTAGCTCAGGTGCGCACCCACTTTGCAGGTGCGCAGCGACGGTCGAGGACGTTATGCACCATCGCGCAGGTGCCAAGTCGGCCACGTGCCGACGACTGCGTCTGAAGAGCCACGTCGACCACGTGCTGCCACGTTGGTCGACTTCGCCACAGCAGCCTTGACGACGTTCGCGCACCTCCGCAGAACCTCGTTGAGCAGGTTACTTGGGCGAAGCCGACTTTGTGGCCGGGTGTACGGGAAGTGCAGCCAACCATCTGCAGAGGTCGAAAGCCAGCCTTGGCATGCAAGTCGACGACTGCTCAACGAGGTTCTGCGGAGGTGCGACACCCAATTCCCGTCAACAGGGGCGACTCGGAATGTGGTTCGGGCCGAAGTGTAGGCTGAACCCAAATTGACGCGAAGTGCTCGTTATGTCCTTCCTAGAAGCAGACTCAGAAATTAATTTCCATAGAATGCCATTCTTTCAGATTGTTATAGAGTGTTATTATTTTGATCACCCAGATTTCTATCAAAGTTGATGATGTCAGCAGAATCGAGGATATCTTCATTTCCAGCAGCTGATGAAGCACACGCAGGAGACTCCGTCTCTCCTCGCGTCCACCAAGTGGTCAAAAGACCACTACACTTCATTGAGGTCTTTCGCGGCTGGAGGTGGCCGATTTCCAGTAGTTATCGTTGCACGCCAGACTCTCACAAGATTCTTGGTTGATCGATTTGATTCTCGGTTGACTCGCGGAGAGCTCAGCTCCGCTTGCGATGGAGGACGAACGGACGCGCACCGCCGGGGCGGAGGAAGGGGAGGCGCACGTAGACATAGATGCGGGCACAGGGGCTGCGGGTAGCGGGGCCGGGGGTTCGCGGAAGCGGAAGCAGGCGCAAGGCGCGCGGAAGAAGGGAGGAGGGGAGAAGGTTCCCGCGCTGGTGAAGCGGGGTGGGCGCGCAGCGGTTGTGGTGGGCGGCGGAGCAATGGCGGCGGCCGCGGCGGGTTCCTCGCTGCTAGAGTACCAGGTGCCCCCCGTTTTCCCGCCTCCAGCGGGCGGACGCCGCCTTTTCCCCGCCCCTCTCCCATAGTATCTCCCACCTATTGCTCCCGCGCGTCTGCCGATCCCGCGCCCGACATGTCAAAGATGAGAGGCCCCGGTTCCTCTCCTATAGCTTGTAGCGTGCCCCACTTTCAGCAGCCAGCCCTCGAAATGGCGCGCTCCAGCCGTCGATGCTTTTCCCCGCTCAGCCTGCGACGATGCGCATTCGCCACTCCGTCGTCCTCTTTAAAGTCGAATTAAGTTCTGCATTCGCCACCCCGTCCTCTCCACCCCTCGTGAATCGTCGCCTCGTCAACGGTCGCCCACTCAACCGCCACTAGTCGCCTACCGAACCCGAAATAGTCCCTGAATATCAATCGCGGCCCTTGCAGCCCCCATTAAACATCAAAACCACGCAAGCCCTTGCCTCGCTGAATTGCTTTGACTGTCCTCAACCAGCTCGATTGTCGATAAACCCTAGTCTCCCCTCCTTCCCCCTCCTAAAACCCTGAACTATGGTTAAGCCCTGACAAGGACACCTTGACTGCTTCGACTCGCTTTGTACAGTAAAATCTTGGCAAAACAGGCTGCCGTTCAGGCAGGTGTGGTGGTGCTGAACTGGACCTCACACGCGCAGCCTCTGTGTGTGTGCCACTTGCCCATTACTGCTGCTGCTGCCCCTCCTCCTCCCGTTCCTCCTCCTGGCAGGTACAAGCGGTGCTGAGGGACGCGCATGTGGGCCGCGCAGCTGCCAGGCAGCGAGGAAAGGGCGATGGAACACCAGTTAGGTGCCATTGCCTCGTTATGTGCCTGCACAACTCTGTTAACACCTGGAACCCTGGTGCCCCTACCCCCCCTTCTCCTCCTGCCCCTCCTCCTGGCAGGTGCAAGCGGTGCTGAAGGACGCCCACGTGGACCTCGCAGCAGCGAGGCAGAGAGGGAAGGGCGTGGTGGCGGCTGTGGATGGCGCGGTGGAGAAACTAAGAGAAACACTAAGAGCCATGCCGGAGGGAGAGCAGGTGAGCGCGATTGTGGCTGGAAGCCCGTGTGAGTGATGCGTTCTTGTGGGTGGTCGTGCCTTGTCGCGTGGGGAGTGAAGACGGCTGTTGATGGCGTATTAGGTAGGAGTGATCAAACGCAACGGCTGGTGCTCGAAGCAGTGGATAGTGGGCAGGGAGTAGGGATTTTGCAATTTATCGTAAGAAAGATAGTGTGAAATTAGAGCCATGGCCGGGGGCAGCACGTCAGGGTCACGAGTTCTGTAAGAGGTTCGGTGGCAGGTGGCAGGTGGCAGGTGGCAGGGGGGGTCGGGGTTTAAAGGAGTGGGTTAGCACAGCCGTGTGAGGGGTCAGGCGGCAGGGGGGTCGGGGTACAGGGTTGGGGCCGAGTGTTGGGGGCAGGCAGGAGGCGGGGGGGGAGGTTTGAGGGTGGTTGGAGCAGGGATGGAGAGATGGGAACTGAAGCACGGTGATGCTCATGCTCATGCTCATGCTCATGCTCATGCTCATGCTCATGCTCATGCTCGTGGTGGTGCTGCTGATGGTGATGGTGCTCCCTTCACCCACCTCCCCTCCCTCATTCCCTTTTCGTCCCTCACTTCCCCTCCCTCATTCCCTTTTCGTCCCTCACTTCCCCTCCCTGATTCCCTTTTCGTCCCTCACTTCCCCTCCCTCATTCCCTTTTCGTCCCTCACTTCCCCTCCCTCACTCCCTTCCGCTCCCTCACTACCTTCCCTGCCTTCTCCCCCCTTCTCCTCCCTGTATTCCGTTTCTCCCCGCCCCCACACCGTCCCACACTTACCTGCACCGTTCCACACCGCTCTGCATCGCTGCAGGTGGCAGCAGGCGCAGCTCTGCCATACGTGGATGCGCTGGTGGGGGCGGAGGGGCCTGTGACGCGAGCTAGAGTGCATTCCTGCAGCTATTTGTGTCTCTTGCCCATCCCCCAACCACCCCCCATCCTCCCCCACCCCTTCCCCTTCCCCACACCGCCTCGCATCACTGCAGCTGGCAGCAGATGCGGCTCTGCCGTACGTGGAGGCGCTGGTGGGAGCGGAGGGCCCAGAAGCGTGCTAGAGCCCTTGCTTGCACCCACCCCTTTCTCCTCCACACCCTCCCACACCGCCCCAAACCGCCCCCCATCACTGCAGGTGACAGCAGACGCGGCTCTGCCATACGTGGAGGCGCTGGTGGGGGCGGAGGGCGTGAGGAGCCTCGCCTTCACCTTCCACCGCCCCTCGCACGTCCATGCCATCGGCAGCTTCGCCCACCACTCCGCCTCCCACCCTGCATCGCATGCGCATGGGGGTGGTGATGGGGGTGATGGGGGTGATGGGGGTGATGGGGGAGAGGGCGGAAAGGGCGGAGAGGGCGGAGAGGGCGGAAAGGGCGGAGAGGGCGGGGCAGCAGGTGTGGGGAGTGTGACGAGGCCGTGCACGCATGTGGACGTGGCTGTCGAAATGCCTCAGGTGCGGTGCTGTGAGATCTTGTGCAGTTCAGATGGAATTCTAGGTGACATACGCGTTTGGTGTGCCGCGCACTACTTTCCCCGTCATGTCACATGCACGCATGCACTGTGCTGCGTCACCTCACACACTCCTCAGTCATCGTCACTTCATCCCATCCCCCCTTCTGCAGGTGTGCTTTTGATAAAATGACGTGGCGAACCACCGCTACTTCGCCCGCTGTGTTGTGTGCACACATGACCAGCACCATGCTGCACACATGACCAGCACCATGCTGCATCCTCCCACACCACTCACTCCTCCCACACCTCTCACTCCTCCCACACCACTCACTCCTCCCACACCACTCACTCCTCCCACACCACTCACTCCTCCCACACCACTCACTCCTCCCACACCACTCACTCCTCCCACACCACTCACTCCTCCCACACCACTCACTCCTCCCAATCTCCCATCCGCCCGCCCGCCCGCCCACCGCTTGTCTGCAGGCGTGCTTCCGGGAAAAGGACGTGTTGAACCACCGCTACTTCGCCCGCCGGGCGCTGTATCTCGCCACGCTGGCACGCCACCTGGCGGCGTGTGATTGGGTGGCGGCGGTGGAGTGGAGCACTCTGAGGGATGACGTGTGCAAACCCATCCTCCTTATCATCCCCCGTGAGCAACCGCATTGTCATCCCTTGCCATGGCGTACCGTGGCGTGCTCTGTTGTCCCTCTGCGGTCCCTCTTCCAACCCTCTACTCATCTTCCCCATCCCCCAATCACCCTCCCCTCATCCCCTTCCCAAACACCTTCCCCCCCTCTCCTTCCCTTCCCCCTCACAGGGGCGTGCAAGAGCTGGCCGCTGCGTCTGCTGCCGTGCCTGTCTCCCGCCACCTTCCCCGCCCGCAAGCTCGCCCCCTCACGCAACAACGTGCGCCAAGCCGCCTCTGCAGGTGGGTCTGCCAAGCCACGTCTGCACTGCAGGTGGGTCTGCCAAGCCACGTCCGCACTGCAGGTGGGTCTGCCAAGCCACGTCCGCACTGCAGGTGGGTCTGCCAAGCCACGTCTGCACTGCAGGTGGGTCTGCCAAGCCACGTCCGCACTGCAGGTGGGTCTGCCAAGCCACGTCTGCACTGCAGGTGGGTCTGCCAAGCCACGTCTGCACTGCAGGTGGGTCTGCCAAGCCACGTCTGCACTGCAGGTGGGTCTGCCAAGCCACGTCTGCACTGCAGGTGGGTCTGCCAAGCCACGTCCGCACTGCAGGTGGGTCTGCCAAGCCACGTCTGCACTGCAGGTGGGTCTGCCAAGCCACGTCTGCACTGCAGGTGGGTCTGCCAAGCCACGTCCGCACTGCAGGTGGGTCTGCCAAGCCACGTCCGCACTGCAGGTGGGTCTGCCAAGCCACGTCCGCACTGCAGGTGGGTCTGCCAAGCCACGTCTGCACTGCAGGTGGGTCTGCCAAGCCACGTCCGCACTGCATGTGGGCTCGTGGTCCCCCCCAGTCCGGCCTTCCTCCCTGCCGCATGCTCACGTGTTCACGTGTGGGCTTGCTAAGCCGCGTCTGCAGGTGGGTGGGTGCACCAGGCAGCGGCGGCGAAACGAAGAGCAGAGAGTAAGACGGCTAGTGACAGGCGCTGTAGGCTCGGGCCACCCCTCTCGTTCCCAAGGTGCTACTTGCATGTCATCGTTTCTTGCATGCTCATGCATGTGCGCACAAAGGCACAACCCTATACACCTTACTTCTCATCTGTCGCTTCCCTCCCGCTCCGCCCACACATGACACAACACGAGGCGACCTCCTAGCTACCCCGCACGCAGTGCTGGGGGATACCATACTGCTGGGGGATACCATACTGCTGGGGGATACCATACTGCTCACACACAGCCGCCATTACTGCCACTATTTCCCAACCAAGTACCATGCGCTCTTCCCATCCCATCCCACACATGGCATGACAGGAGGCGAGCTGCTGGCAACACCACGCTACAACATGGGTGTGCTGGAGGATGGCACTCACACGGCCGCCCATCACCTCGTCTCACATGCCATCAGCCTCGTGCCCGCCCTGCCCCATTCTCTCGTGCTGCTCAAGGTGACTGGCTGAACCTGAAGTGAATCGCCTTTGTAGAATTGCTCGCACCCCCTCGTGGGGGACGCTCATGCAGTGCACATGCCATGAGGCTGTTGCGCATACCCCTCTCCTGCGCTCACATCGCACGGCCGCCCATCACCTCGTCTCGCATGCCACAGAGCTCGTGCCTGCCCTGCCCCATGCGCTCGTGCTGCTCAAGGTGATGTGATGTGACTGTAAGGAGGTGAAACTGTTGAAACGATGCCTTGCCTTTGATGGCCTCGCGCGCGAGTCCCGATCATTTCATGGCTTCGTTCGCCAATGTGCTGTGCATGCCATGCCATCAGTGCAGCAGGCACAGCGGATACAATGCTCCATGCATGTGTGGTAGTGATATGATGTCCTGCACTGCAGCATTGAACATGCCATCCATTCACCACAACATATCATATCATCGTTGATAGAGCCTCCCAGAGCCTCCCTTTTCTACCATAACAGCGTTTCTCCCCTCCACATCCCCTCCATCCCCCTGTCACCTGTCACCCGGCAGGTCTGGGCTCGCCAGCGGTACGGCACCAAGCGCCACGTGGCACCTGCTGATTGGCTGAACGGTTTCCAGCTGTCTCTGCTGGCAGCACACGTGGCGTCGCCCCACAACCCCCACCGCCGCGTCATGCCTGCCATGTCAGCATTCCAGATCTTCCGATGTGTCATTGATGCCATGGGTATGTGTGGGGCATGATGCTATGGGCAAATGCATTGATCACATGTTTTGTGCTTTTGCCGTGCTCATGTGCTCATCTCACTTTTTACCACACCCCACCCACCACGCTACCCATCTTTACCAATTAGCACCAACCAGCACCAACCAGCACCAACCAGCACCAACCAGCACCGCTCTCTTCCAGAAACCAGCTGCCTCCGCTTCTTCCATCCGTACAAACCTCCAGCCAATCCTCCATCCATTCCTCCATCCATGCCTCCATCCATGCCTCCATCCATTCCTCCATCCATGCCTCCATCCGTGCCTCCATCCATGCCTCCATCCATGCCTCCATCCATGCCTCCATCCATGCCTCCATCCATGCCTCCATCCATGCCTCCATCCATGCCTCCATCCTCTTGTTCTCTGCTCCCTCCTCGCCCCGTCACGTATGTCTGCCTCCACACCTGCATGCAGGCAACGCGGATCTCCTCCAGCAGCCCATCCTCCTCGTCGCCCCTGATGGCTCCCCCAACGTGCTCCAGGCCAATGCTCAGGTGCCCTCCCCTCCCTCCTCGTACTCCCCATCCTCTCTCATTGACCATCGTCACTTGTTCTTTCATCACACCTCATTCCCATCTTAGCCCTTCAAGCCTTCAAGGGGATGTCAAGAAACTATATGCTTTGTGAACTTTCTCTCTTCTGTTCTCGTTTCATTTTCCCGTTCGCTCTTGCTCTTCCTTGTTTCCGCTTCTCTCGTTCCCTGTTGTTCCCCCTTATTCCCTCTCATTCTCTCATTCCCATTCAATTTTTCTCATAAATCCCCGTATGCCATTACCTCACCACCACCAGGCGCGCAGGGACATGCAGAGGGCGTTCGACTGGCTGCTCTGCGACCCATCGGGGACCGTCAACTTCGCCTCCCGAGTCTCCAAGTCCGCCCTGCACCAGGTGCGCCCTTCCTCCACCAGGTGCGGCCTGTTAATGCCTGTAACCAAACAACGCTTTCACTTATCTCGCATACACACATCTTTTCTGCCCAAGCTCCCTCCACACGCTTCCCCTTGGTCCTCCACACGCTTCCCCTTGGTCCTCCACACGCTTCCCCTTGGTCCTCCACACGCTTCCCCTTGGTCCTCCACACGCTTCCCCTTGGTCCTCCACACGCTTCCCCTTGGTCCTCCACACGCTTCCCCTTGGTCCTCCACACGCTTCCCCTTGGTCCTCCACACGCTTCCCCTTGGTCCTCCACACGCTTCCCCTTGGTCCTCCACACGCTTCCCCTTGGTCCTCCACACGCTTCCCCTTGGTCCTCCACACGCTTCCCCTTGGTCCTCCACACGCTTCCCCTTGGTCCTCCACACGCTTCCCCTTGGTCCTCCACACGCTTCCCCTTGGTCCTCCACACGCTTCCCCTTGGTCCTCCACACGCTTCCCCTTGGTCCTCCACACGCTTCCCCTTGGTCCTCCACACGCTTCCCCTTGGTCCTCCACACGCTTCCCCTTGGTCCTCCACACGCTTCCCCTTGGTCCTCCACACGCTTCCCCTTGGTCCTCCACACGCTTCCCCTTGGTCCTCCACACGCTTCCCCTTGGTCCTCCACACGCTTCCCCTTGGTCCTCCACACGCTTCCCCTTGGTCCTCCATCACTCTCGGATCCGTGTGCACGCACAGCACACGTACAGTGTGACCAAGTGGGAAGGAAGGGGGGCGTCATGGCAAGAGTAGTTGAAACTAGATTTATGCCTTCAGCTGAGCCCCTCGTCTCTCCTTCCTCCTTCCTCCTCACTCTCGTTCATCCATGCCCTTCCTTCCTTCCCCCCAATCCCATCCGTTTTTCCGCTCAGCACACCATACAGTGTGGTCAAGTGGGGAGGGGGACGCCGTGTCGAGTAGTTCAAGTATGGACACAGCACACTTTCACTGTGTCCCTAGAGTGTCCACACTTTCCGCCGAGCCGATACCTTCCTCCGTCCTCCTCCTCACGCTCTTTCATCCATGCCCCTTCCTTCCTTCCCACGCATCAGATCTGCCTGGACGTGCACCACACATGAAGTGTGATCAAGTTAGAGCGAGCGCCTGCAATAAGTTGTTCATCAATGTGCAGAGTGGTGTGGTGTGGTGCACACGGCACACTGAACAGTGCAGTGAAGGAGCGCCTGCAACAATGTGCAGTGTGCACACCTTCAGTCGTGCGCCTAATTCTCCTCACTCTCCTTTATTCATGCCCCTCCCCCCCACACCATCAGATTCGTCTGGACGCGCGTTTCACACCCACAGTGTGATCAAGTCGGGGGAAGTCATGTTCAGATTCGTCAAGTCAATGTCCTCGCCTTCAGTCATGCCGCTCCTCTCCCCGTCCCCTTCCTTGCTCACTCTCTGGTCCATCTGGACACGCGTTTCACACCCACAGTATGATCAAGTCGGGGGGTGGGTGGGGGAGTAGCAAGTTTTTCAGTCAATGTCCACATCTTAAGTGTCGTGCGCTTCTCTCCCCTCCCACCCCTCCCACCCCCATCAGATTCGTCTGGATGCGCAGCACACGTACAGTGTGATCAAGTCAGGGGGGGCGCCCGTGGCGTGTCTGCCGGGGCAGGCAGTGCTGCTCGCATTTATGCAGCCCTGCAGCCTGGCCGACAGATTCGATTTGATCACCACGTGAGTACCTTCTGTGCAGTGCATGGGAGGTGGTGTTGTGTTTGATTGTGAGATCTTCCTCCGGTGAAGTAAACGAAGCTTTCTTGTTTGTTCATCTCAGCCGTCCCTCCGCCCGCACCTCCTCGTTAGCCTGCGACTCCAACATGCCTCTCATCCCCCTCAATAAACGCGGTGCCATGGCCTCGTTCATCCATCTCTGGGTGGCAAGCATAAGCCGCACACTTCCCTCTTCTGTCGTTTCCCTGCCCTGCCCTGCCCTGCCCTGCCCTGCCCTGCCCTGCCCTGCCCCATCCCATCCCATCCCATCCCATCCCATCCCATCCCATCCCATCCCATCCCACCCCAGTGTGCACGACACACCTCCTGCCACGCCCAAGGCGGCGCTGCTGCTGGACGAGCCCCCCCACCGGCGCAGGGAGGGGGCAGCAGCAGGTGTGGTGGCGAGGGGCATGGGGGAGAGGGCCACGGCTGTGCGGGTGCACCCCAGGGAGGTGCCTTCTGGCTGGCGCCTTGAGCAGGTGCGTGTGGTGCTGAGTGAGAAACAGGGTGAACTGGTTCCTTACTGAAAGCCTTTTAGAATCAATCGTTTTTTATGAAATTTGGGGTTTATTTAAACTTCACCACACTACCTCTACTTCACTCGCCTCTACCCACTCCCCGTGTTGTGTCACCACAGGTGCACAGCCCCTCACAGGGCATGGCACGGTTCGCCTCTGTCCCAATCCCCATTGCATTGCACTCTTGAGATGCCACTCTGCCACTGTCGCCCCTCTCCACCATCCTACACGGCATGCCATGCCACCACTCGGTGCTGTGTGCTTGGCACATAATAGGCTGTGCCGAGTGCACATGTGCATGGCACAGCCTGCTGTGCTAATCGGAGTGTTGCTTTGAGACGACTGCTGTGTTCACATTGTTGTGTCAAAGTTTCAGCCTTTTAGAATCAATCGTTTTTTTATGAAATTTGGGGTTTATTTGAACTTCACACTACCTCTACTTCACTCGCCTCTACCCACTCCCCGTGTTGTGTCACCACAGGTGCACAGCCCCTCACAGGGCATGGCACGGTTCGCCTCTGTCCCAATCCCCATTGCATTGCACTCTTGAGATGCCACTCTGCCACTGTCGCCCCTCTCCACCATCCTACACGGCATGCCATGCCACCACTCGGTGCTGTGTGCTTGGCACATAATAGGCTGTGCCGAGTGCACATGTGCATGGCACAGCCTGCTGTGCTAATCGGAGTGTTGCTTTGAGACGACTGCTGTGTTCACATTGTTGTGTCAAAGTTTCAGCCTTTTCCCTCCTTGTGCCCCCCACCTTCGCCCCTTCCACCACAGGGCCTGCCAGCACTGGACAGCGCGCTTGCAGGAATAAGAGTGTTGCTTTGGGGAGCAGACTGTGTAACTGTGGTGTGCTCAAGTGTTACCCTCATCTCCTCTCACCGTACCGTCTGCTCTCATTGCACCCCCATCTTCTCCCCTTCCCCCACACAGGGCCTGCCAGCAGTGGGCGGCGCGTCGGTGCTGATCGGAGTGTCGCTGGCGTCGCCTGACACGGCTCTGCGCCTCGTGGACAAGGGGCCCAGCGCGGACAACAAGGCCGAGGTGAGCGCCATGCAGACAGGGGTGGTTGGCTGGGCCTGCACCTGGTAGGCACATGCTGAACAACTGGTATGATTTCTTTAACTGGCGTGAAATTACTTTTAAGAAATGCCCCCTCGGCTTCCTCATCCTCACCCATGTCTGTAACCTCTGCTTTCCCCTTTTCTTCCCAAGCACCCAGGAAATTAATAAGCCCTCACTAAAGCTCTAAGTCCTGCAAATGGCACTAATTGGCACAAGTGATTAAGTGACTTCTATATGAAACCTTGACTTTAGAGTCGGCTCTGAATGTTTGAGAAGACATATTCGGTTGTCTTGTTGAATGCTTACAGCCAATGCACCGGCAGGTGTGCCTGGGCTGCCGCTGCTCCCACCGAGCCTGTGTGTTGCACCAATGTTAGGTAGAGTACAGCCAACACGTTCCAATGTCAGCCTTGAAACGGACCAGAGTGGGGTTCTGCGTCTGTGATTCGCACGAATTGCTATAAGCTGCGCATTCCTCCTCGTTCCGAGCAAAACCCCACTCTGGTCTGTTTCGAGGCTGACATTGGAACGTGTTGGTTGTACTCTACCTAACATTGGCGCAGCAGAAGGGCTTGGTGGGAGCAGCGGTTGCACAGTGTCGCGTTATTAACACTTAGCTGGCAACTAAGTGTGAATACCACAGCAGCCAAGGTGAGGGTGTACTATAGTTTACCGCTTTTGTACTCTAATTTCATTTGTGTGCTTGGAGTGTATTGTACTGTACTGCAGAGCCGAGTAGCTGGGGAATTTGAGGTGGTTAGTGGGAGGCGAATTCAAGGAGGTTGGTGGAGACGAATTCAATTCCAGCCTGTGAATTCAATTTCGAAGTCACAAGGCTGGAAGGCGAATTCAATGCCAGCCTGGGAATTGAATTCGAAGTCACCAGGCTAGAAGGCAGTGCATGCTTAGTGGGCCCAGTGGGAACACAGCTAGCACCTTGGAGACCTCGCGAGCAGCCCGGCTGACTCGCTTGGTGCACAGGAGCTTGCTTGTGGAGGAAGCAACCTAGGCAGGGGGTGGGAATAGATGTAGGCAGGAGTAGCACTCGGGCTTCTTGCTTTTTGCTTGTATGTTTCTCATTTACTGCAATTTGTTTTCCTAATCCAGAGGGAACTAGCAGTAGGAGAAGCTATAAGCAATTTGACGGAGCCCCTGAGGGGGAGTGTTACGCTTGCTACATACAAGCAAAAAGGTTGTTGACTGTCTTAAGTACAGGAGATAAGCTAGTAGCCTCGAGTCGCTCACGGTGATGCGCCGTGAGGAATGAGTAGGCACGATCAGGAACTGCACACTCATCAGCTGCGCTCGGGACTCCGTTTCCCTGCAAGGATGATGGAGGGACAAGGCCTACCAATCAGGACACCTTGATTCCGTGCTGAAGAGGGCGATGCTAACGCGCGCGGGGGTCAGGGATCAGATCGAGAGAGGGAGGGCAACCGACAAGGGGAGCCGCCGCCTAGCGCTACTGGTGGATCAGTCGCTGGTGGGAGTGGAATCGGCCATGTGAGGAGTGGATCTCGAGGGGATAATCCTGCTCAAGGAAGAGAAGAGTTTCGGGAAGAACGGCACAGTCAGCGCGGGGAAGATGAACATCACGAAGAAAGACGCCGTCAGAGAGGAGGAGAAGCGTACCACAGCTTTTCGGCGGGTGGATACGAGGCTACTGAAGCTAGGCAAGGTGGTCGGCCGGTGGACAGCGAGGATAGAGGGAACACGAGCTGGGGGACGGGCCGCACGATGAACGCAGCTCTACCGAAAATTGAAGTGCCGGACCGTTTCTCGGGGACACCAGGGGAGGAGCCCACGCTCAAGAACTACTTGATGATGATAGACGACCTGCGTTACCTTTGGGAGAGGGAGGGCTTAGACCCTATCGAGTTCTTTAGAGGTTTGGGACGGACTCTGAAAGGCGAGGCCCTGACTCACTACCGCGTGGAAAGGCAGGGGCTGTTGATGCAGTGCAAGAGAGGCGATTTCTCACCAGCAATGATAACGGACCGATTTCTGGAGAGTTTGCAGGAGCAATTCCCGGGGCACTCGGCGGAACGGATGGCGGAATTTCAGAACTTCGTGCGTGCCACTTCGGAGTCGCTGCTAGCCTATTACAACAGGCTGCTGGAGCTGGCAGAGGACATGGGGTGTATGGAGGAGCGCCTCTTGGTGATGAAATTTGTCAACGGTCTGGACAAGGACCTGATAGGCGACATGAGGAGTCAGCTGTACGTCCTGGGAGTACGCGCCACGCTGCGGCAAGTCTACAAGGTGGCGAAAGAAGTGGAGGAAGGGAAGAGATTTTATGATGGCATGCAGGGGTCGAGTTCCAGCCGACCAAACGAGCGGAGACGGCCGGCCTGGGCAGCTATGGAAGGAAGAAGGGGAGAGGAAGAGCGGAAAGAGAGGCCATCGGAAGACCCGAGACGCTGCCATAAATGTGGAGAGCAAGGACATCTTCGGCGGGATTGTACGGTGGGAATAATCTGCGACACCTGTGGAGCAAAGGGACATTTCAGGCGTGACTGCCCCAAGGCGCCGACCTGCACGGGGTGTGGGAAGAAAGGCCATACCGAAGCTAGATGCTACAGCAAGGGAGACAGGGCGAAAGGGAAAACTGCAAGGGAGCTGCAGTTAGAACGAGAGTTGGCGAAACTGAAAGCTCAGATGGAGAAATGAGGGATCAGTGAAGACCCCGAGAAAGCTCTGCTGGCTTGGGGGGATGACGAAGGGGAAGATTCTGAGGAAGGGGAACCAGAATACGGGACCATGGCTATGCCGCCAAGGGAGAGGGGAGACCTGGGGCTGCGCAGCGGAGGGGCAGATGGCAGAGCGGAGCAGAAATTACAAGAGCGGAGAATTTCCAGGCGGCAGGAGAATCAAGGGAAAGTCAGCACCGCACGGCGTCACCCCGAGGAAAGGCTAGTCTGTCAGCCCACAGCCTTAGTGGTGGAACCGAAAGCCGTGGCGGTCAGAGGAAGCTTGGTAGAAAACGCGGTAGTGGATACAGGAGCACAGAGCGTCCTAATCGGGAAGAAGCTGACGGCACAACTGCGAGCGCAAGGGAACCTAGAGACTGTAAGCAAGGGCATACTGATCATGACAGCAGAAGGAGGGGCCCCCAAGTGGATGCCATGCACACGGGACCTGATAGAGATAACCTTACAGCCGGGAGAGAAGGGGGAGACCACTATCAGAGTGCAGTGTGGGTTGACAGAATCAGAAGACTATGATATCCTACTAGGAATGGAGCTGCTGTTCAAGATAGGCACCACTATCTGTACCTGGCAGGAGCAGGTGCTCTACCGTTCGGACTTTTGGGAGGAAGGGAAGGAGCTGAGTGAACTACCAGTACGGTTTGTTAAGACAGAACCCAAGAAGGCGTGGAGAGCAGAAGGACTGAGGAAGAACAGCAAGAGGGGAGGAAGTGTGGGGAAGAGCAACGGCAGCGCTCACCTGGATCAGTATAGCATTACACTAGTGGAACTGTTCGGGGGAATAGGAGCGGGCTTGGCAGCAGCCTTGGAAGCAGGCCTGAGGGTGAAGAAGTGGGTATACGTAGAATTGGACCCAGAGGTGAGGAGAATGGCATGGAAGCATGCTCAAACGTTACAGCAGCAGTACCCCGCGCAGCTGACGAAAGAAGTACTACGGGAGGCCATGCAGAACAAGAAATGGGACGTGGGGCAGCTCACGAAAGAAGACGTGAGCATCTGGGGTAAAGTGGATTTGTTAGTGGCGGGATGGGAGTGTCAGGGTACTTCTAGGGCCGGAAAGGGGAAAGGCTTACAGGACGAGCGCACGGGGATGGTGACCAAGCTACTCACCATAATGAAGTGGACGAGTGAAGTGAATGGAGAATATGCTTACATCCTGGAGCATGTGGATATGAGGAATGACGTACGCGAGCCGGTCAGGGCAGTAAGGGAGCTGGTGGAGGCAGAACTGGGGAGAGGAGTGAGCTGTGATGGGGCACAGTTGGGGGCACGCTGTCATAGGGTGCGGCAGTACTGGCAAAACGTCTTGCCAGACGGGGAACTGAGGGCAAGACTAGCAAGAGTGGAGAGGGACGAAAGCAGGATAGTAGAGGATATTTTAGAACCAGGGAGGGTGGCGGCACCAGTGGTAAAACCAGATCATCCGCGGCAGTACCAGTGCAACCGAGTGGGGGAAGCTCGCAGGGCATGGCCTACATTAGTGGCATACACCAGGGCACAAGGTTTCATCGAGGTGGACGGAATACCAGGACCAGGGATGGTGTACGATCACCGGAAGAAGAAGTGGGAGGAACCGACGGCTTTGGAGCGGGAGTTAGCCATGGGATACCTGCCAGGAGCAACCGCAGCAGAAGGGGTAGAGGAAGGGATGCGCAGAGCAGCTTTAGGAAGAGCCATAGACCAGCACTCGCTGAGATGGTTAATCAAAGAGATGAGGAAGGGGGCAGCTGATAAGGGAGGAGAGACCGAAAAAAGGCAAGGACAAGGAGAGAAGCAGGCGGCGTATGCAGCTGTTGAGCAGGGCACGGGAGGAAAGGAGAATGTTGCGGCACTAGCAGGGGGCAAAGAAGCTGAGCAGGGTAAGGAATGGAAGCTAGGTACGGACATCAAGGAGCAGACGGCGGAAGCAATCAGAGAGGTGCTGCGCCAGCACAGGAGCACTTTCGCCTATAACCTGCAGGAATTGGGGAGGTACAAGGGAAGAGAGCTGGAGCTAAACCTTACCACAGAGATACCCACTTACCAACGAAGAAGGAGAATGAATGCAGAGGATGCGGCTATCTGCAAGGAGAAGTGTGAGGAGCTGCTAGCAGCAGGGATTATCCGCCCGTCCGAGTCAAGCTACGCAGCAGCCACAGTGGTAGGTGCCAGGAAGGATATCACGGGTAAAGTGCTGGCGAAAAGGATGTGTGGAGATTTTCGGGAGCTGAACAAGATTACCAGCCCGGACAGGTACCCCATGCCAACAGCAGAAGACATCTTTGATCGCTTAGAAGGCGCCATCATCTTCACCACCTTGGACCTGAGACAGGGGTTCAACCAGATAGCCATCAGGGAGGAAGACAAACGGAAAACGGCGTTTCACGGGGTGGATGGGCTGTATGAGTACAATGTGATGCCCTTCGGGATAGGCAACGCCCCTGCAGTGTTCCAGCGGGCCATGGATCAGGTGCTGAAGGGGATTCCAGCAGCAGCCTGCTACATAGATGATATACTGATTTTCAGCAGCAGTGAAGAGCAGCACGTGCAAGATCTGAAGCAGACGCTAGAGGCTATAGCAGCTGCGGGTCTAACGTGCCATCCAGACAAGTGCAAGATAGCAAGGCAGACCGTGGCTTACCTGGGCTTTGAAGTGAAAGGGGGCCGGCTGGCGATACAGGAAGCAAAAGTTAAGGTGCTGGAGAACCTGGCAGCACCAAAGGATAAGACCGGGCTGCGGGCGTTACTCGGCTTCCTGAATTATTACAGGAAGTTCGTACCGAACTTCCGCCGCCGAGCCTACATACTGAATCAGCTGCTGAAGGAAGGGAGGAGCTGGCAATGGGGAGAGCTGGAGGAAACGGCAAGGCAGGACCTGTTAGAAGCAGTACGAACGGGAACGCTGCTGCAGATACCGAGGGCAGATGCCCCTTTCATCTTATACACCGACTGGAGCAGCACAGGAATGGGGGCAGTGCTCTGCCAAGAGATAGAAGGAGAGGAGAGAGTGGTAGCCTTCGCCAGCCGCAGCTGCAGCCCATCCGAGGCTAACTACTGCTCTTACGAGGGGGAGGGCCTGACAGCTGTATGGGGGATCACTCACTTCAAGGTGTACCTGCAGGGTCGGCGCTTCACACTTGTGACTGATCACCAGCCGTTGCTATGGTTGATGACTCATCAGGAGCTGACGGGAAGAAACGCTCGCTGGGCCATTACGCTGCTGGGATTCGACTTTGAGATCCGACACCGGCCTGGGAAAACGCTGCAGCACGCAGATGGGTTATCAAGGAATCCGCCACCAATGCAGCCGGTAGCGCAGCTGGCAGCCCTGGCTCAAGTAGCGGCGGTACCCTGGGGGCAGGAGAAAGGAAAGAAGCGGTTAGGGGATATATGGGAGGATGAGGAGACCCTGAGCTGGATCAAAGGGGAGCCACTAGAAGAGGAAGGAGTGAGCGAGAGAGCCAGGGCCCGAGGGCAGCATTTCAGGTGGTTTCAGGAACAGCTGCAGCTGAGAACCAACGAAGGGTGGAAGGTGGTGCCACAACCACAGGAGAGAGCCAAGATTATGGGGAATGTGCACGCGAAGCTGGGGCACTTCGGCATAACCAGAACACGGCAGCTGCTGAGCACCATGTACTGGTGGGTGAGCATGGGAAAGGATGTGGCAGGATTAGTGGCGAGCTGCGAGGCATGTCAGAGGAATAAAGCAAGGCTGGAGAAAGAGAGAGATGAGCTGCATTCTTTACCAATTCGCGGGTTGGGCTACAGGTGGTCGTTGGACCTCGCGGGAGAGCTGCCACTATCGAAAGGAGGGAAGCAGTACATTCTGGTGATGGTTGAGCACACGAGTAAATGGGTGGAGGCGCGAGCGTTACCAAGCAAGAACAGCGCACTGATAGCTGACGCTTTTGAGGAGCTGGTGCTCACCAGGTATGGGGCATGCGGGGAGGTACTCACTGATCAAGGGACGGAATTTCAAGGGAGCTTCGACGAGCTGCTGGAAGAGATGGGTATCACGTACAGGGTCACCTCTAGGTACCATCCTCAATCAGACGGACTGACCGAGAGGCTCATACAGACCTTGAAGAAAGGACTACGGGCCTACAGTGAGTCCCACAAAAGGAGTTGGGACCGAGATCTCTGGTGGGTGCTGGCGGGGTACAGGTTCGCAAAGCAGGCGGCTCTGAGAAACCTATCCCCATACCACTTACTGTTCGGGCGGGATCCTGTGCTGCCGGTCGATGCTCCGAAGCTGCTTTCTGCGGTTATAGAGGCAGATGCGCCAAACCTGTGGGCGGAGTTAGCACAGAGGAGAGCAAAGTATTTGAAGGAGCTGACTCCGGCAGCTCTGGATAACCTCCATGTGACGCAGCTGCGTGACGCAAGACGATACCAGCAGCGTAAAGCATCAGGGATAGGGGGAAAGGGTGACAAGGTGGAGGCAGGGCAGGAGGTATACCTTCGCAAAGCTAAGCGCGACACGCTGGACTTAGCGGTGGGATCGGAGCGGTGGAAGGTGAAAGAGATACGAGGCTCGGGAGTGTTAGTGCTGGAAGATATTCGAGGGGGAATCATCAAGGAACACATCACCAACGTGGCCAGGGCGGGACAAGGGAAGCCTCAGGCAGTGGGTCCCGTGACTCGAGCGGCAAAGATGGGCGCTGAGACACGGGAGGGGGCAGGGAAGCCTGAGGTACCAGGAGGAGTGCAGGACAGAGTGATTACATACGCCAGGAGGAAGAAGGGATGAACCTGATCAGCAGTACGGGTGGCAGGGAAGGAAGGAGAGAAGGAGAAGTCAGCAGGATACACAGGGGAGAAAGGGAATGAGGGTGGACAGAGGAAGATTCACGACAGCTGTCGCGTTATTAACACTTAGCTGGCAACTAAGTGTGAATACCACAGCAGCCAAGGTGAGGGTGTACTATAGTTTACCGCTTTTGTACTCTAATTTCATTTGTGTGCTTGGAGTGTATTGTACTGTACTGCAGAGCCGAGTAGCTGGGGAATTTGAGGTGGTTAGTGGGAGGCGAATTCAAGGAGGTTGGTGGAGACGAATTCAATTCCAGCCTGTGAATTCAATTTCGAAGTCACAAGGCTGGAAGGCGAATTCAATGCCAGCCTGGGAATTGAATTCGAAGTCACCAGGCTGGAAGGCAGTGCATGCCTAGTGGGCCCAGTGGGAACACAGCTAGCACCTTGGAGACCTCACGAGCAGCCCGGCTGACTCGCTTGGTGCACAGGAGCTTGCTTGTGGAGGAAGCAACCTAGGCAGGGGGTGGGAATAGATGTAGGCAGGAGTAGCACTCGGGCTTCTTGCTTTTTGCTTGTATGTTTCTCATTTACTGCAATTTGTTTTCCTAATCCAGAGGGAACTAGCAGTAGGAGAAGCTATAAGCAATTTGACGGAGCCCCTGAGGGGGAGTGTTACGCTTGCTACATGGGAAGCCTGAGGTACCAGGAGGAGTGCAGGACAGAGTGATTACATACGCCAGGAGGAAGAAGGGATGAACCTGATCAGCAGTACGGGTGGCAGGGAAGGAAGGAGAGAAGGAGAAGTCAGCAGGATACACAGGGGAGAAAGGGAATGAGGGTGGACAGAGGAAGATTCACGACAACAGGCACACCTGCGGATGCATTGGCTGTAAGCACACAACAAGACAACCAAAATCAGTTTTTGTATAGATTCAAAAGCCATGATTCTTTTAGAAAACACTTAGTGACACTAATGCGCCTAAGTTCCCACAATCGCCGCACCCAAGTCCCCACAATTCCTCCACTCCCAATCCCCCCTTCTCCCCTCCCGCTCCCGCCACCTACCCTCTCACCCCTCCCCCCACTCCCTTTCCCTTCCCACCCCCTCGCCCCCCTCTTTCAGGCGCTCAAGTTCCGTGCTTTCTGGGGCCCCAAGGCAGAGCTGAGGCGCTGGAAGGATGGCACCATCACCGAGGCTGTGGGTGCGTGTGTGCTGTGCGGTGGAGAGGGGGGTGGGGGAGTTCAGGGAGGCTGAGGGGGGTGTAGCGAGGTGGGGGGGGGTGCAGTGAGGATGGCTACCATGTCTCATCTCATGTTGTGCCTTCATGGCTCCCTTGACACGGCACCACACTCAGCACCATCTCACACGGCACCACACTCAGCACCATCTCACACGGCACCACACTCAGCACCATCTCACACGGCACCACACTCAGCACCATCTCACACGGCACCACACTCAGCACCATCTCACACGGCACCACACTCAGCACCATCTCACACGGCACCACACTCAGCACCATCTCACACGGCACCACACTCAGCACCATCTCACACGGCACCACACTCAGCACCATCTCACACGGCACCACACTCAGCACCATCTCACACGGCACCACACTCAGCACCATCTCACACGGCACCACACTCAGCACCATCTCACACGGCACCACACTCAGCACCATCTCACACGGCACCACACTCAGCACCATCTCACACGGCACCACACTCAGCACCATCTCACACGGCACCACACTCAGCACCATCTCACACGGCACCACACTCAGCACCATCTCACACGGCACCACACTCAGCACCATCTCACACGGCACCACACTCAGCACCATCTCATCTCATCGGACTGCGAATCCTCACCAGCTTCATCAGCCTTTCACGCCTCATCAGCCTCGCCCTGCAGCGCCACCTGGGGGTGGACGAGGGCATCTCCTCACACACCCTCTCCGATACATCATACCACACTTCTCCCTCTGTTCCTCCCCCGTTGCAGCATGGGATGCCAGTGCAACAGAGCGCCACCTCATCCCCCGTTCGCCCTGCAGCGCCACCTGGGGTTGAAAAAATACAGCCCTCTCGCTTGCATCTCCTTACCCTCCCTGTCCACCACACCATGGCACCCTTCTCCCTTCTGTCTTCCCTGTTCTCTCGCTGCAGCATGGGAAGCCCCCTCCACGGAGCGCCACCTCATCCCCTCACGCCTCATCTCGTTTGTCCTGCAGCGCCACCTGGGGGTGGACGAGGGCGCTGTGAGGGCGGCTGCAGGGCAGCTGGACTTTGCTCTGCAGGTGGCAGGCAAGGGTGCGTGGGGGAGGGGTGGGGCTGTCGTGTTGTGAAATGTGATCGGATGGAAAGGATAGGGCAGGGGTGTGCGTGTGTGCATGTGACTTTTGAGTCGACTCAAAAGTGACGCGTGGGGGTGACAAGGCCGCTGCGAGGGCGGCTGCAGGCCAGCTGGACTTGGCACTGCAGGTGGCGGGCAGGCATGGGTGTGTGGTGGGGAGGGTTGCGTGCGTGTGGGTGTGCTGTGGTTTGATCTGGTGGGATGGGATGGGATGGGATGCGCTGAATGGGATGGGATGTGGTTACCTCCATAGTGCAATTTACATCCATGAGTGTCTAACATGACAATGCTTTGATTTGATGTGCATTATCTCCTCTCCCTCTGCCGTCCCGACCACTCTCTCAGCACCATGCATGCATCCCTTCGACCACTCTCTCAGCACCATGCATGCATCCCTTCGACCACTCTCTCAGCACCATGCATGCATCCCTTCGACCACCACCACGCCTCTCATGCACTCATCTGGCCCGCCTCTCAGCGCCGCAGCTAGAGTCTCTTGCCAAGTTTGCAACCCTAATCCTTCTTTCAAAACCCGAAATCTTTTACCCAAAAGTTTGTATACACCTTGCCCTTGTTGCGCCTCCCCTCCTCCCCCCCGCCCTCACCACCCCTGTAACTGCCATTTCTCCCACAGACCCAGCATCATCCGCCCCGGCACTCAGCGCAGCCTTTGAGCGTGTGGCCTCGCTGCTGCGCCAGCTGCCCTCCCTGCCGCTCTCCGTCGTCGCCCTGCACTCCCTCTCCCCCGGTGCGTGCTTCCCTCTCCCCCGGTGCGTGCTTCCCTCTCTCCACCCCATCCATCCCCCCGTGCCTCTCCTCTCCGCCTTGCACGCATCACAAGGAGCACAGCTGCCCTTGTCTGTGCTGCGTGTTCTATAGAATATGCCCTTGCCCATACCCATCACCACGATGACCCACGTCGTGGGCCAAGCCTTTGCTCAGCCTCTTGCCCGTCAATGTTTGATTGCTGTCCTCCCCCTCATTCTCCTCCCCATCTCCTCCCTCCTGCCCTTCCCCCTCTCCCCCCCCATCGCAGCAACAAGGGGAGCAGCGGCCTTCCCCCCATCACCCTGCCCGCCTCCCTCTGCAGGGGGCGCAGCAGAGGAAGAGGGCGTGTGGCGGCGCTGTGTGGATCCGGTTCCCGTGGCCGTGCAGGTGAGGGGGGTTTCGGGGTGACGGGCAGAGGGACGAGCGTCGAAACTACATGATAGGCACTGGATGATCCACTGGGATAGGCAGTGCGGGCGGGGGAGGGCGTGTGGCGGCGTTGTGTGGACCCTGTGCCCGTGGCCGTGCAGGTGAGGGGGGGGGTGGGGTGGGAGGGAGTGGGCAGGCGAGAGTTGAGAGTATCGACAGACACAGGAATCTGGTGATGGGGGCAGGGGAGGGTGTGTGGCGTTGTTGTGTAGATTCCATGAATCTGTCTGCTCCTACCAGTGCTGCCATTCATCCCTTCTGCACATATCTCTTCCTTCCACTCACTTCGCTCCCTTTTCCATTCGGCTGGAGGCTGGCCAGCCAGTAGCACTACCATCCCTTGACCAGACGAAGCCCACTCATGCCCCTCTACCTACCACGCCTACTCCCTCCGCCCTCTCCCTCTACCCTCTCCCCTCCCCCCCGTGCAGCTCGAGGCGTCCAGCAAGTGGCCCGATGATCCCGAGGCGCTGCGCCTCACGCGCCACGCGTTCTGCCTGCAGATCGCCAGCAGGTGAGGACGGGTGGGAGCAGTTGGGGTTGGAGTGGCATGGGTTGAGCGGGTAGCAGACGAGCCCCATGTGGAGAGGTGCTCCATGGCCCATGCCCGATGGCTCATGGTCCATGTCATCATCACCCATGCGCCCACTTGCCTTCCCCACCTTTTTCTCCTTGCCTCCCTTCTTGCTCCTCCTCACCTTTTTGCTCCTACACGGAGTGGACGTGGAGGTAGCATGGAGCGCCGTGGATGTTTCGGTTGATGGCTTTGCCTTCCGCCTCTTCCCAGCCCATCATATACCCACTCCCATTCTCTCCTCTTCCCGCGTGCCAGCCTGCAGGAGGCACACGGGGTGGCAGTGGAAGCAGCGCAGGGCGCCGTGGATGTGATGATTGATGGCATTGCCTTCCGCCTCGTGCTGCTCCATGACTATGGTGAGATGCATGACTATGGTGAGATGCATGACTATGGTGAGATGCATGACTATGGTGAGATGCATGACTTTGGTGAGATGCATGACTATGGTGAGATTCATGACTATGGTGAGATGCATGACTATGGTGAGATGCATGACTATGGTGAGATGCATGACTATGGTGAGATGCATGACTATGGTGAGATGCATGATTTGTGAGTTACATATAGCACACACATGGTCATAGGACACGTCAGCAGTGGTCCTCAATCGTTTTAGCACATACACATGCGCTTGGTGGGATTGGTTCCACATTGTCCCCCTCTTCAGCTAGTCTCCTTATATCCTTCCTCTTCACACCTTCCCTCCCATCCCTCCAGTCCCACCAGCCCAGGATGTTACCGCCTCCTCCTCCTCCACATCCCTCACTCCCCTCATCACGCCCTCGCCCCTCACCGCCGTTCCCACCTCCCCCTCCGCCTTCTCCGAGACGCATCGCACGCTGCAGCACCACAGCACACTCAACGGGCTCACGGGTCGCCACCCCACCTTCGGCCCCATTGCAAGGTGACACCCAAGACCCAGAGGTGATAGCAGTGATGGTGCAGGTGGTGCTGCTATGAGCTGGGTGTGATGGCGATGGCAATGCTGGGTGTCATGGCGATGGCAATGCGGCACCACAGCACGCACAGTACAATTGGCTCACTAATCGCCACCCGCCCTTTGGCTCACTAATCTCCACCCGCCCTTTGGCTCACTAATCGCCACCCGCCCTTTGGCTCACTAATCGCCACCCGCCCTTTGGCTCCATTGCAAGGTGACAGACACTATGGTGCACCGTGGTGCTCATAGAGGTGCTGCTTATAAAGGGGGTGCTGGTACAGGTGCTGCTGCTGATGACGATCACAATGTTAGGAATTCTGTCGACTTTCTGTAAGGCGACCTGAAGTTGCCGTCGCGTATTTTGGAGAAGGAGGGTCTGACGTGAGGCTAAGCTGCGTGCCTCATCTCTCTCAAACGGTCTGTGTATAAGATCAAATAAGGACATACATGCAGGCAAGTATATGGCAAGTATATGGGAAGTATATGCAATCTTTACTCACTTCTATCCCCTACATCTCCCTGCCCTCACCTCCCACTGCTTCCCTCCTCGAGCGGTCCCACTCCTCGCTTTCAAACGGGCTAGCCAAGCGGTGGGTGGCAAGCCAAGCGGTGGGTGGCAAGCCAAGCGGTGGGTGGCAAGCCATCTATTCTCATTGAAGCTGAAAGGAGAGGCGATGGAGTGGGGGTACTGATGGCTCACACCCTCGTCGCGTCCACTGATTTCCCTCTCCTCCCATACATGCCAGGCTTGCCAAGCGGTGGGTGGCTGCTCATCTCTTCTCATCGCACCTCAAAGAAGAGGCGGTGGAGCTGCTGGTGGCTCACACCCTCACCGCGCCCAACCCCCTGCTGCTGCCCGCCCCCAAGTCGCGACTCGCTGGCCTCCTCAGGTGAAACAGCAGATGTGCACTCAGGTAGGGCAGTGTTCAGGCAAATAGCAGGTGTGTGCTCAGGTCAGGTGAAACAGCAGATGTGTTTTCAGGTGGAATTGCAGTGGGTTTTTTCATGAGCAGCAGGGGAAGAAAAACTTTAGCCACTTTAGGGTAGCTGGTGTTTTGTTGTGTGCCTTCCTCCTCCCTCTTACCTCCCCATCCTCTCCACATCTTGCTGCTTCATCGTTCTCCGCAGCTGTCTTGCCATTCCTTGCCAGGTGCTGCCACCCCCTCCTGTCAAACCCGACCCGCAGCTCGCTTCCTTCCATCAAAACATCGCCATAATGTCACGCTGGCGTCAACTCTGTGCTTCGCACAACCATTGATGGCCTCACCAACCAACACCATTCTCCCTAATGCCGCCGTGTGGTCATTTTCCCCTCCTTCTCGCAATGTTTGCCACCGCCCTGCTGCACACGTGGCAGGTTCTTCCGCCTCGTGGCGTCGTACGATTGGCTGTCGCAGCCGCTCATAGTGGACGTGAACAGTGCTTTCTCTCCTGAAGACGTGCAGCAGATTCAGGTGAAAATCCAGATGCAAGCAAGAGGAGCAGTCTCACCAACCAATGCCACTCTGCACGTGTGAGGCACTTGTTGAGCTCTGCTGACCCTCAGCAGCAACGGTTTGCTGTTGCCGAACATGGAGCAATGCTTTGCTTTGCTGACCTTGATTTCGAACGAGCTGATTCTTCCTCCTACCTGTCCACTTCTCTGCTTCTACACCCTTTTTCCCTCATCTCTCGATTCTGTCCCTTCACGTCACCCCCTTCACCCTTGTCTTCATCACCTGCTTCCCATCCCACAAAGCTTCATTCTATCTCTTACTCTCCACTCCATCACGACGCCTTGGCCAGCTGGGGGTGAATCGCTCTACCCTCTTCTTCTTCTCCTCATTCTCCTCCCGTTCCTTCCTCCTTTGCCCCTTCCCTTCCCCTGCCACGCCCGTTTTGACGCGCGCCTACGGCCCCACACATATACCGTGGGAAGCGAGGCATGAATCGTCTCTTCATCTTCCATCTCTACCCCACCAACCACCCCTCCCCACCAGGCTCGTTTCGATGCCCGCCTGCCTCCTCAAAAGGAAACCCTGGGCAGCTCAGCACGCAGCGTGGCAAAGCAACTCAAGCAGAGCACGGCGGAAGGGGGGATGTCGGGAACTCATAATCTGTGGCATCCCATGGCTTGCCTTCTCCTTCCTGCTCTCACCCTCCCTCCCTTCTTCTTCCAAGCTCTGTTCCTGTGATACCTTACCTGCTCTGCCTCAGCCACTACCAGAGAGATTCTGGCTCCCACACGATGGCTGCCCTCAGTGGCCTAGTCGCCTAGCTGCTGTAGCGTTAGAACGGCAACGTAAATCCACTATTTTAGGCAAACAAACGAGAGAACGAACTAAGCAGTGAGTTCCTAGTCTATTTGAATCTCTACCCCGTGCCGCGCAGTTTCCCGTAACTCACATTGGGCTCCGCCCGCTAGGCTTTAGGATTGGCCTTTCAGATTGCCCAGGGCTCGCCCTTGAACTTGTCCCACTCTGCGCCTCGCAAGTCCCTGAATCACCACCTTGCGTCAATCCCCACGCCCCAAACTCACCTTCTACAGTACTTCGAATAACCCAACTACACCTACACTAGCAAGTAACTGAATCTATTGCAAACAACAATACATTCTGTGACAGGGAGGGAGGGCGAGTCGCCTCTTCACCCTCTTACCCCCATTCTTCCCCCCCCAAACCCATCGTGTTCCCCCACCAGGCTCGCTTTGACGAGCGCCTGCCACCCCACAAGGACACGCTGGGGAGCTCAGCACGCAGCGTGGCAAAGCGATTGAAGCAGAGCGCGGCGGAGGGGGGCAGGGAGGGCGAGGGGGAGAAGGAGCGGCGCCCCGCCATGTGCATCTCCACGCCGTACGATCGCGACGGCGCCATGTGGACGCATCTCGGACCGTCCGTTGAGGTGACATGGCAATATTCCCTCGTTTTCTGGTTACTGGTTGCTGTGCAATTTTGGTTCTAAACATTCTCAACTCAGAAGGACGGGTTTTTTAGTTTCTATGGCCTTCAGTGTCCGTGGTGATGGCAGGAGGAATGCCTTCTCATGACTTACCCACCTTAGACCACACCACACCACACCATACCACACCACACCACACCACATTGTACCATCCCCCACTGTGATGGCAGGAGGAAGCCTTTGAATTTCTTGTGAATTTCTACCCACCCCTATCCCGCACTCCCTCCCTTCCCCCCTCTTCCTTCCCATGCTCCCTCCCTCCCTATACCCCCACTTTCCCTCCCCCCTCCCTCTGTGCCCTTGTGCGTCTCGTGTGCTCCTCTATCCCTTTCCCTCAGGCTCTGGAGCGTCTGTGTGCCTTTGCCGAAAGTGCAGCGCAAGTGCTGGCACAGCTGATCACAGGGGAGGGGGAGGAAGGGGGAGGTGGGGAGGAGGGAGGAAGAAAGGGAGGGGGCAAGGGGAAGGAGAGAGGCAATGAAAAGCACAGGGCGGTGCAGTGGAAGGTGGGTGTTTTGGGCCGCTCAGGCAGGTAACACAGAGCTGTTGCACATTCTTGCAAACGTCCCCTCGTTCCTCCCTTGGAATGAAATTTGTCTTTCACCACTGCCTTGCCTTGCTGGATCAGAAGTTTTTTTCTCCCACACCCCCCCTCTCATTCCAACATGGAACCCCGTCTCGCCTACCCTCCCCTCTCTCAAACCATCTCCCACGTGCCCACTTCTCTCAAACCATCTCCCACGTGCCCACTTCTCTCAAACCATCTCCCACGTGCCCACTTCTCTCAAACCATCTCCCACGTGCCCACTTCTCTCAAACCATCTCCCACGTGCCCACTTCTCTCAAACCATCTCCCACGTGCCCACTTCTCTCAAACCATCTCCCACGTGCCCACTTCTCTCAAACCATCTCCCACGTGCCCACTTCTCTCAAACCATCTCCCACGTGCCCACTTCTCTCAAACCATCTCCCACGTGCCCACTTCTCTCAAACCATCTCCCACGTGCCCACTTTTCCTTCTTCCCTTGCCCCTCCCTCCCGGCTGCAGTCGCTCTTCCTCTCACCGCTCTCCACCACATTCGACCTCATCATTCACCTGGACCCTGCGTCCCTCCCCCACCACCACCGCGTCCTCTTCCCGGCCCCCAAGGCTCTCAGCACCACCAAGGGTGAGCTCGCTTTCTACCATCCCCCATCTCTCAACTCTCCCACCACAGCATTATTCCCCTTCCAAAGGTGTGACACATGTGCAGTCCCAAGGTGCTATTTCTCAATAAGCTCATGTAGGCAAACACAATGCTGGTCACAGACTCACCTCACACCACAAAGCTCATGGACTCTCACCTCACACTATGCCTGGTTGCCTTGCCCTCAAGCAGACCACACCACAGCCGATTCAAGCATCTCCCTTCTGTGTCGATTGCATATCTGATATGTGTCATGTGCCATGCCCATCGTCTGCTATCTGTCTGCGTGCAGGCTGGTTGCAAGTACCCTCGTCCCTCTCTCCAACAGATCCCACCTCCTCCTCATCCTCCTCCCCCTCAACCGCCCTCCCTCCTTCTCTCCACCGCCTCGCCTCTGCCGGCCCTCCGCTGCTCATTGGCTTCAATCCGACGGCTCTGCTGCTCACACACCTGCAGGTGAGCTGTTGGATTGACACGAATTGGATCCATCCGGAAATCACTGGCATGGTACTCCTGGTTTCGCACTTAATTGTTCCGGTTTAGTCTGCTCATTCGCACTTGCACCTCGAAGTCGACTCTCCTCTGCCGCCCGCTCTCCCGTGTTGTCGTTTTCATCGCTCAGGAACGGTTTGGCTCGGTGCTCACCTTCTGGTATGACGGCCTCTGTGGGAGCGAGGTGATAGGTGCTACATGGCGCATTCCCATTGGTGCATCTGCTGACGGCGGTGCTGCTGCCCCCTGCCTGCCCCGCCGGGCCCAGCAAGCCCACCTGCTGCCGTGCTCCCACCAGTCTGAGCGAGAGGTAGGACACTCACGACTCGTTGAGAGAGCGAGGTACAAAACTTTCGCCATGCTCAGAGAGAAGTGTATGCCAATAATCAGACGCTGAGAGAGAGAGAGGTATGGTACAATAAAACGTGTCAAGAAAATAGCGGTGAACGCGTATCTATATGGTACATGCTGACATGCTGGCAGTAGCGCGAGAGAGGGCGGTTCGGTGTGGAAAGATTCTGAGACATATCACTGGTGAGCAAGGGGGTTGAGATGTGATGACAGGGATAAGTGAGGGAAGGAGTTATGAAAAGGGACACCAAAGCTGATTAATTACTGCTGCTTTCACTGCACCTGCTGCTTTCACTTCCCCTGCTGCCATCACTGCACTTGCTGCTGTCCATGTGCGCCCTTCTAGCCCTGTAAGTGCAGAGGTGGAGCAGGGAAGAGGTGGAGCAGGGAAGAGGTGGAGCAGGGAAGAGGTGGAGCAGGGAAGAGGTGGAGCAGGGAAGAGCAAGGCTGTGCACTCCCATGCTCCACCGTCCGCTCCACACTCTCCTCTCCCTTCCACGCTCTTCTCTCCTTTCTACACGTCCCACACCTTCCACACTCTCCTCTCTCCCGGTCCTCCACGATCTCCACTCCCTTACCGTCCACTCCCCTCCCTTACATGCTCCACCAAACCCTGCAACGCCTATGCCTTCTCTCCTCCCGCCACCCTAACCACTCACCAGCTGCTCTCTCCTTTCCTGCCGTCCCCACACCCTCCCCGCTTGTCTCTTGCCTCCCCATGCCCAATTCACTCACCTCACCACCTGCTTTCTCCACCCCTCACCCTCCCCACTCACCAGCTGCCATGCGGAGTGGTGAATGTTGCTGCCATCATTGATGACATCAGCATCATGGGTGCAGGCCTTTTGGCGTCTGTCCATGTTCGGCAATGACCCGTCCGTCCTCAGTCTATTTGCAGCGGTTACCCTGATGCCATCTGTCTAGGTGGGGGTATGAGCTTATGTGATAATGTGAGGCAGAGAGACCCTTGTGTCGTCAGTCAATGTGCAGTGTAACGGATATGTGCAACAAGGATTCTCATGATATCATATGTTAAGTCAATGGTCTGTAGGCTGTCAGTGCAATTTATTATCCCTGGCATCAGCTGCTTTTTGTTCAGCTGCAGTACTACTTGGTACTGAATGCCCTATACACTTCAGCCAGCCTTAGCCTCTGCAATTTGTACACTGATAGCATAAAAAGGTCATTTGCCGAATTATGGGATTTGTTTGACATCACTACTCAAATCAATCAGGCAGGTCTCATCAAATGTATTAGCAGCACTAAAAACTTCATACACTGAACCACTAGATTGCAAAAAAATACCACATGCTCTTCATCAAGTTTGCCACGGCTATTAGTATTCAAACCCCTCTTGGTCAGGGATTAGCTGTAGCTATCAGCTCTTGATCAGTGACACAGTATTCAGGACAAATGTGATCCAATCATCTCAATCATGACACCTTTCCATAAACATAACGCTGAGCTGAATCGAGTAGGTCTCTTTAACCTGCAACCACAACAATTGAAAATCAACCGACAACCATGATAAGAACTCGCGGTTGTTGTGGCAGTATTTAACTCGTGATCCTATGAGGACGGATCCTACTGAGAGCACAAGCTGATGGAGCCACGGATGGTGTGGGGGTTTTTCAGCCACTCGTCCCACTGCCCAGAACCCAGGGGTCCTTGGGGGAAGGTGTGGATTGTTTTAACCCCACTCTGAGCTGATGCTGGCGACTAGGGTCTAACCGATGACGCACCTTGAGTAATAATGCTCCTTCCACTTAACACAGCAGATTGTGATGGGCGCACAGATATAACGGTTCGAGCTGCAGATGGAAAATGCAGCACAGAAGAGAAGTTAGGGTATGCTCGACTTGTAAAACAGGAACGGCGCGAGCAAAGGCGTATGACATGACCAAGCGAAACCAGCGCGTCAACAGGGAATGACGCCTCGCATTAGAAGCCACGTCAGCACGAAGCTGATTAGTGTCTGGATCACAGCAGCGAAGCTCTCTCACAGGGTAAACCCGTCCGAGCCATGATAGAAATCTGCGTCCAGAAAGAGTTGACTTGAACAGCACAACAAAGTCATCAGCACTCGAACAGTTAGGGGTTTACCTTAAAAGCTTGGCACCAGCGCAGAATCGAACTCGCAGGAACTCGCCCAAAAAACTCGCTCAGCAGGGTAATGTTTATCTCGCACCCTGTGGACGAAACGGTAGTCGGTCACACAGATGGTACAGCTTCCCCGCGGAGGCGAGTGTAGAGGTGCGATGCCGCCTTGCACGAGTCGTTACCGACTCCCCAGCACATCTGATCACAAACCGCCGTAAGGGAGGGCAAGCGGGACAGAAACAGTTAGGTCGAATCACGGAGATGTGCCAGCAGGAGACGTACGGACTGGAACGCTCCCCGTTTGAGATGTACCAGAAGGAGACTAATCGAACGGTTGCAGCAACGGCAAGGGTTCATCAAGCCCCCCACTGGGTAGGTATACTCGGCACTTGGGACAATCTCACTCCACAAGACACGGAGAGGTTGTACGGAGAATTTCGCCGAGATGGTGAGATGCGAGGGAAAAGAGGATGGTGGAGTAGGTGAAAAAGAGCGGAACAGGAGATCTGGTAGGCATGCAAGAGAGAAGCATAAACTAATAGCAAGCAGTAAGGAGTCACGTCACGGTAGATGGGGGTCAGAAAGAACGCAGCAATTTTATCTGGTCATTGCGGGGCATGGCGAGCCATCCACACTCCGATTTGCAAAACTCAATACTATTCGTCACTCCCCCATAAAAATAACGATACATATGCCGTACGCAGTGAGCACGATGTTGGATGGAGACCACTGAAGCCCATCGCATGTGGCTAGTCCAGAGGGGAAGAATGTACCTCGGGCGTGCGCGAAATGTCTCGAAGGAGACGAGCGGCCGAAGCAATCTTCTTTGCGATGTGTCGGCTTAAATGAGCGAGGCAGGATGAGGCAAGTGTTGTCGCCGTTCACCGAACCGACGCAGTCCTATCATCCATCTGTAAACCAATCAAAACAACGAAGAAACAGAGTAAACATCAGGTATATTTAGAACGTGGGAAATGTTGCGAAGCGATTGAGGCTTTGGCGCACGGAAGTGGCTCTCCTCGTCTTCGACCGTGAGGGAGACAGAGGAGGTGCCACGGCACCCGCCTCACCCAGCCGTGCAGCTGCTCTACTTGGTGCGAGTCAGGCAGACCAGGGTTAGGAGATACCTGACGACTGCCTTAAATAGAAAACAGTCACCAAGAGTTCTGGAGGATAGCCGAACATGACAATACAAAATATATCTAAAAAAAAAGCAGGTCGGATGAGGGGGATGGACGGAGAGTCAGCAGAGGACAACAGAGCTACACAGCCGTCGCCGCCACCCAGTTGTCACTGGGGTCTCTGTTGCAAGTCTCTGGAATCATCATCCTCAACCGCGCTAAGAAGTACTTAGCTCAACATAAAATAAGCACGGTGCGACAAAAAGTTGCGGAAAATAAACACACCAGCAAAACACGCGCATTGGAGACGAAGACGGAAGGAGAGTCAGTAGGAAGGCAACAGAATTACAATCGTCAATGCCACCCAATTGGGTGGCTCGGTTGCGCATCTCTGTATTCGTCATTCCCTCGCGTACTAGCACGAAACAAAAAGGCGCAGGAAAAAAGTTAAGGGGGAAAGGATACGGTGGCCGGCTCTCTTCAGTTCAGGTCTCCAATTTGCTTCTTCAGTGCCCGGTTTCGGACAATCTCAGAAGAACGAAAGTATTGTTTGATCATCCGCAGAGAGACGGGACCAGGGCTACAAAAGGATGAGATCGTAAGGCCAGACACGGAAGGCCAGACACTAAGAAAATAACCACCATCAGCGTCGCACAGCCATCAGGCGTCAATTCTTCTCATTCGCAGGTTGAGCCGCGTCAGAAGGTGTCCTAAGGCTTTGACATATGAGATAATTTCATCATAAGGCTGCTGCGGACCGACGGCGTCAAAATAACGAAGGCATACGGCAGAACAGCGAAGATGACTAAGACACGCTCAACATAGGGTTTTAGAAAGACATGTCAGGCAGGTGGTTGGGGTCAGTACGAGATCGCCATCTTATTTTCCGTTTCACTGCAGCGATCGCTGTATCTCAAATCAAGTGTTGGATTTTGATGGCTCCTCACTCCCCAACTAAAACAGCCAAACCTATGAGACCAATGAAATTGAACAGAAAGATACAACGTGACTGATAACGCAAGCATGTGGAGCTGACATGCGGAAAACCGCAAATAAGAGAAGGGTTCTTTTAAAAAGTCACAGGCCCAACTATCAGAACGGTGGTTGGGGTCAGTACGATAACGCGGAAATATTTGACGTTTCACTGCAGCGTCGCTGCACCTCAATCTAATTGCTCCTCACTCCCCAACTCAGACAACGGGTCAGATTAGTCCAATAATGATAATCACGAATGAAGAGACAACGTGAAGATGACAAGCGGACAAGAGAAACACCAGACGGGAGAAGACAGAAGCCTTGCTTCAATGAGCTCGATCGGGACTCCCGCCCTGAGTTTGAGGAAATGTAGCTTACCGGTGCGACGTGGCGACACATGCCCTGCAGTGCGATTGTGTAAGGATTGAACACGGCTATGAGGAGCTTCCCCTCGCGCTGCTTCTCACTGCGGCCTCTAGCTCTGAGTGCTAGAACTGAACTAAATGGACATGGTAGGGAGAGCGAGAGCGGGATGTTGGGATGAGGGACGGGAGAGAGGGAGATGATCTGCGGGAAGTGGTGGTAAGCACACCTTTGCTCTTATAAATTTCTCGAATAATACCAATACCCCTTCAATGTTTCTACAGCCCCACTACAGCCTACAATATGTGAAAGAACGAGGAATGATTGACTAAGGAATAAGTGTGATACAAATATGAAACCCTAGAATTGTGTAACCCTTAGTATCTAACCCGCTACAGCCTACACAGGCTAGATCATATAAGTCTGACACACCCCCATAGGCAAAGTGGGGGAGAACAAGGGGTCACAAGACCAGTCAAGCAAAGCACGGCAAAGCAAGCTCAGGGTGGATCACAACGTCACCACACATTCCGAGCACAAGTTCAAGGCCACAAGGCCAGTTCACATGCAAGATCATATATAAAGGTAAACAAGCAAGTGCAGGTATAGATAGATCACAGTACAAGCAAGGTCAAGAAGTGAGCAAGTGAGGCCAAGTAGGCACAAGACCTAGCATCGTACAAAAGCGCTGATGATCACAAGGCGGAAGTGCCTTGGTAAAGATATCAGCAGTGTTGGCCTGAGAGGCCACGTAAGCAAGGCGCAGCTGACCACGCTGCTGCAGCTCACGAGCAAGGAAGTAGCAAAGAGCAATGTGCTTCGTTCTGTGCTCCAGTCTGTGCTCCCGACACAAGGCCAGCATGGCCTTGTTGTCTACGTACAGAACTGGAGGAGAACGAGGCGGCTCTCCTAGGTCAGTCAGTAGGTAGATGAGCCAGCGTAGCTCCTGTGCAGCCATGGCCCCCGCGTAGATCTCAGCCTCACAGCTGGAGCCGAGAACAGAAGACGAGCGGGTAGACCGCCACGAAACAGAGCCGGAACCAAGGCTGAAGGTGTAACCCTGTGACGACCGCTGCGTAGCCTGGTCGTCAGCCCAAGAAGCGTCTGCGTGACCTGTGAGGACCACTGAACGCCGCCCTCCAAGCACTAGCCCCATGCCCGACGTACTGCACAAGTAGCGCAACACCCTCTTCGCTGCAGCCATGTGCTCTGGTCGGTGTCTCCCAGGAGCAACATAGCGTACCAAGATGCTAAGAGGGTATGCAAGGTCAGGTCGAGTGCAGGTCATCAGGTACATGAGGCAGCCAACAAGC